CTTAAAATTGAACAGTTATTCCCCATTTAATTGCATCTTTTTTCATGAACGACACGTAGACATATAATTCTTATTTCAGATGATGGAAAACTAAATTTTAAACAATGTAATCATTTTTTTCCCTGCCGACTTAATCACTCATTCGCAATACATTTAGATTTATACAAAGAGAATGGAGTCAAAACTTTAAAAAAAAAAAAAAACGTTTGCTTTGGTCTGTATTTGTTGATCTTGCTTGTTTGCAATGGGTCAGTAGTTTTAATCATATCTTAACAACCTTGAAGTATTGAGGTTGTTTATCTGACAGCTGAATGTTAGGAGTGCATGTTGTTAGTCACACTGATCCTTTTGATTTAGCTTTGATTTGAGCTCCCGGACGATCAAATTAATTGCACGTATTTGATATTTTCATTTGATCAAACGACTTACAAAGCCCACCCACCCACCTCCTCTTTCCAGGTGTGGCGCCCTACCCCTCTTTCCAGGTGCTGCATAAGAAAACAAACAATATGCTAGTAAAGTCAAGCCAGAAAGTGCACGGATTTCATGAATAGCTATAAAAGCACACATCGTATTTAACTTATTTAAAGCAAACTCCAGTTTCCACGTTTGAAAGTTAGACAGTTCCGGCGAATTAAGAGTCGCGGTATGCAGTGGCAGCGCATACTTTAAGCAGCCCAGTTGTTCATTGTGACCGTCTATGTTAAGCGAGGGTAAGAATTAAGTTGCCACGCTGATGATGTAGAACACAATTGCTACAAGTTCTGTAAACGAAGGACTCCGTGGCTCTAGCTGTGAAAAGTGAATAGTGGAACAAGGTACGTGGGAGGCTTGAAATGAAAGGGCGGGAGAGTACACGAAGAACATTTCGGCTAAAAACTTAAGTTTCGTAACCGTTTTCTATGTCTTGTTGTTTCTCGTTTCGTTGAGTCTGCTAGCTCTTAGAATATTCACTGAATTAAAATATTTGATTTTTAAAAATTTGTTATTCATTTCCACAGCCTGTCGATAGAGTAAACAAAATATTCAGAATATTTAATTTTTTTTTTTTTAAATTGAATGATTGTCTTTTTTTTTTTTTTTTTTTTTTTTTTTTAATTTAATATTTTTTTTTTTTTTTTTTTTTTTTTTTTTTTGAAATCTTAAGTTTAAAAAAAAATGCTATAAAATATTCCTCGACGTTGTAATGTATCACTAAAATAAAATCATACAGGATGTAATATAACCATTTAAACGATCTATCAATCACAAAACAAATGGATGGGGGGGGGAAGGGAAGAGGTGGGGGGGGGAGTCAAGAAGAGTTTAAGGTTTTCCCTTCATTATTTTCTTATTTTTCATGATTCTTGAAAAAAAAAAAAAAAAAAAAAAATTCTTAGCAAATATACAATAAATACAAAATTGTGTCCCGCATAAGTGTCTCATTGTTTTTATGTGAGCAGATAAAAACATATATATATATATATATATATATATATATATATATATATATTGTTTGTAAAGCACCTGTTCACACGTAAGAAATAAATGAGCGCCATCTATCATTCTTAGCAAGGAAACTGGGGGCGATAAGCCTTGTTGAGATAAGATGAATTTATAGTACGTTTGACCCTATGCTTCTCATAAATAATGGGTCACCGTCTGCGTCATTTACTGTTAAACATCTGAAAAAAAAAGATTTTTTTAACAAAAATATATGAGGATAAGCCGTAAAATGTCAAAGTTTTTTTTTTTTTTTAAATTAAAATTAACCGAATGAAACTGTTTTCATAAAATATCCCCATCGGATTTAATCTCTTTAAAAGATATATTAAAAACAATTCGAAGAGCATGTAGAAAAATAGATTGACTTTTTCATTTGGACCTTGCTATTAATCACATATTTCATTTGAACTATGTAAATTCTAATTTAACTATGCAAATTCTACTTTAAATAGGTAAATTCTTCTTTAAATATGTATATTCTACTTTAAATATGTAAATTCTACTTTAACTATGTAAATTGTACTTAAACTATGTAAAATTGTACTTTAACTATGAAAATACTACTTTAACTATGCAAATTCTATTTAACTATGTAAATTCTACTTAAACTATTTAAATTCTACTTTAACTATGTAATTTCCACTTTAACTATGTAATTTCTACTTCAACTATGTAAATTATACTATAACTATGTAAATTCTACAAAACGATTTTCAATTTCGTAACAGTTTACATTCAGACAACATCAGCAGAATTTAGAGGGTGCAAAGATGGCGGCATGTTTTTAGATAACCACTTGTAATATATATAAATATATTTATTAATGGGGTCAAAAAACGTCAAAAGTAAAAAACCGTTTAATGACAACAGCAGTTAAACAGGATTCGCTACAAGTAGATCATGATTTTGGCCCTGCTAAGAACCTATAAATAGACGGGCACATCCATTAAATTTTTGTCGAACTCTTAACCGACCTGTCGCCTATTCTTTTCTCACCTGGGAGTCGTCTGCTGTCCGGGGTAAGTTCCTTGTGTTGAGCTGCAGACATTTGCATCGAAGGAAATAAAAAAAAACATCTCTTTGCGCACCGCTAGTAACGATGGGTGGCAGATCTTATCTGTGGTTTTAAGCTTGGGTTTTCTCTGAGAAGTTACATGAGGAAATAATTTGGTCAAAATTTGGTGTGACAGTTCATAATGTGTTTTTTTTTTAAAGAATACCTTATAATCGGAAACATCAATGAATGTGCGTAACGTTAGTTTAGTGACTTCAGATTCAAATATTTAGCGTCTAGATGTGTTTGGACACGGCTGTGACAACAGAGCTAATCTAAAAGTAGTAAGAAATGGTGTACAACAAATAATACTTGAAAAGTATGCACGGGTTTTTTATGTGCCACTCGCAAGTCATTGTTTTAATCTAGCTTTTGTGTGCCCCGCGCAAGTCATTGTTTTAATCTAGCTTTTGTGTGCCCCGCGCAAGTCATTGTTTCAACCTAGTTTTTATGGGCCCCGCGCAAGTCATTGTTTCAACCTAGTTTTTATGGGCCCCGCGCAAGTCATTGTTTCAACCTAGTTTTTATGGGCCCCGCGCAAGTCATTGTTTCAACCTAGTTTTTATGGGCCCCGTGCAAGTCATTTTTTTAAACAAATTTGTTACGTGCCCTGCGCATGTCATTGTTCAAAACTAGTTGTTATGTGCCCTTTTGGGTGTCAGTAAATGCAATCTTTATCGTAAATATAAATATATAGATCTAATACGTTTAAGATACGTGATCTAGACAGAGATCTTTAAAAAAAAATTAATAAAATTATATTCTAAGTGTTTATTTTTTTTTAAAGGGAAACTAGTAATATTTATATTTTAAAAAATTAACAAAACAGTATAGTTGAATATATAAATAACAGAACACTCCCTTTTTAAAAAAAATACTAAATTTAAATTAACAAATTACATGTTTTTAGAAAGGGAGAAGAGGCGTGTGCAATTTTTTTGTTTTAATCACCCAAACACATTAATATTAATTCAACTTTTCTTTTTCTTAATGTTTCATCTTTTGAAGTAAGCAATACTAATGATAATATAACCGTAATCATTGATGTTGTGTATAAATATTTTCGTTGCAGTCCAAAAAGCTCTACAACACAAGAATCGACCAACAGCACAGCAGCAATGATGGGGCCGTCACCTCTGATCAGTTTTGTTGTATGCTCATACGTAATGCAATACATGAACTTTTTAAAATTAAAAAATTTGAACTTTGGTCACATCAATGGCCTTCGATTTCATACATGTCTAAAATTTTACCATATGAATTATACTCTCAAAATGTATTTTATTTTAATTTTGTTTAACCAACATGTCTATAAATACATGACGCTAATGACAGCGGAGTTAGGGTGAATTTGGTTTTTTTTAAATTACCATATATTTATCTTTGTTCAGATGACTTTTCTGGCAGTGAAGCTGGTGGAATCCACGGTAAGCGTGCCGTAGAATGTTGATTTGTAAAATTACACCCATGAATTAGTCTAAATGTTAATTTTGTATCAGTGCAACGTCAAAAAAAAATTTAAACATGATTGTAAAATTCGGAGATGGGTGCATGCACAGTTCAATTAAGTTTTTGCTCGTGAGATATCAATAAATAAAAAAAAAAAAACTGATCAACAGGTTAACTATAATCGATATGTATCTAAGATCAGTTCAAAGTTTTACTTTTGTTACCTTCAACGACGACAGGGTGAGGGCCATAATATTTTCATTCCCACATCTAGATTCCCGCCTCCCGCGACACCCCCTGTCACGCCGTGTGCTAAAATTGTAGACATATCTTACCACCACCCCCCCCCCCCTTTTCGCTAATGAAATAAGTGTTAATTTTGCCACACAATGATTTTGATAGCATTAGCAATGTCAGAAATATTACTATGTATGAAAGTAATAACGTTGTTGTGATTTATTTCTTTTACAGTTTGTACCCCGTAAGTATTCAACACATTTTCTGCTCGGGGGGTTAGAGAGGGGGTTAGAGAGTTTATCTGAATTTAAAAAGACAAAAAAAAAAAAAAAAAAA